CTGGGGCTTTGGGGGGAAAAAATAAAATAAATAAAATCTTTAAAAAAAAAAAAAAAAAAAGAAATATATGTGTGGACAACAGTGAATGCCATTTCATGATGTAATGGGACCATTTCCCAGAAATCCTGGTTAGGCCCAGAATTTGCATTCAAAATCATTACATTACAAATCGAAGTTCCTTAATGAGTTAGTTTTGAACTGATGTACAAAGTATGATACTCCTGGCACGATGTAGACATAAGGACTGTTTGACGTGAAGAAAAGAGCAAGCAGTTAAGATATAAACACCATGTGTGAAATGTTACACATCTGTTTTCCATTCTACTAAGGATGGCGTGAACTAGTGATTATGAATATAAGCTAATATCTCTAAGCACATTTTCTAGGTCAGTGGTCTCCATTTTTCATCCTGCATTGCTATCAGTGACAATTTTTTGAAACTGTACCTCCAATATACGTATATTTACTTACAAATTACATATACGTGAGATTATAAATATGTATATTAAATCAAAACTTGAATGCTCCCTTATTTTTAGATGAAAACTATAAATAAGAGTCACAATCTCTACTTCCTGCATCCCAGGGGACCATCTTGAGCACCCCAAGGGAGTGCCCCTGCTTTGGAAACTGCTGCTCTGGGAGACGTAAATACTCTGTAGGGCCTAATCCTATTCAGTCAGAAAGCAAACAGATAAAAGTCATCCTGCATGATGGGAAAGAGGCTCTGCTCTGGAAGACTCAGCCTGGTTGTATTGCCGGAATCACAGGCTGTTGAACCGGCAGGGACCTCAGCGATCATCCAGTCCAGCAATTCCCCTGAGCTGTAATTCTGTGAATTGTGAATGAGTGTCGTGTGAAAAGGAGGTTCCAGGGTCAGAGAAGCTTGGGAAGCCCTGTTTTAGACCATTTTGAACAGATGTCTTTACAGCAGAACTTCCAGAACCTTTATTACGCAAATAGACATTGTGGGTCTTGAAGAGGGGGATAAATTATGCAGTGTTTCTGAAACAAACGCACACTTTTTTGAACTATCTTGTGGAAGTCATATTCCACAGGGCACACGTAGGAAACAGCCTGTTTTGCAGATGCTGAAATGTCGGCTCAAAGGCATGAGTAATTCACACAGCTGCTGGTGGCCAGCCGGGACTAGCACGTAGGTTCCTGATTTACTCACCGTGGGAGAAAAGCATTGTCTGAAACTGTCTATTGCCTAAGAAGGGTGTTGAGGTTCAGCACGAGTCCCTCAAAAGTCCTTGGGGATCCCACTTGGCAGCCTGGGCTGTCACAGCATCTGTGTCACTCCTCAGAAGACCCAGTCTCATCCCCAGACGCCTGCATGATTGAATCTGACCCTTAGGAGTGAGGAGAATGTCTTTCTTTCTTTTTTTTTTTTTTTTTGGTGAGGAAGATCAGCCCTGAGCTAACATCTGCCAATCCTCCTCTTTCTGCTGAGGAAGACTGGCTCTGGGCTAACATCCATGCCCATCTTCCTCTACTTTATATGGGACGCCGCCACAGCATGGCCTGACAAGCGGTGCGTTGGTGCGTGCCTGGGATCCGAACCTGGGCCACCAGCAGCAGAGCGTGTGCACTTAACCACTATGCCACTGGGCCAGGCCCAAGGAGAATTTCTTGAAATCCATCCCCTGAGGTGTTAAAGTGGATGAAAAGATGAAAATACACATTTAAAGAATATAAAATAATTATTGAGCAGAGGCTGAAAAAAAGGATAGAGAAAATGTGGCATCAGGGAATGTGGTCTAGACCTTTCTGCGTCTACCAGGGCATCTGCCTGGTCAGAGAGTCATAGAACTATGTTGGTCTGTGAAAAATTTTAGCCACGCACCTGACTAAAAAAATTACTTTCATTATTGACATGCAAGAGTTAAGCTACACGAATAAATAGGAAGAAAATGACCTGACCCTTTCTCATTACAGTCTTAGAGCTCCTCATCTCTGTAGGGTAGCTCCTTTTCTCAGAATTTCTGTTCACACACGCACACACACACACTCGGTCATACACACATACCATATACCACACATAGGGTTTCACACAGTCACACACACAGAATGCACGTAGTCACACTCATATACCACACACGCCACAGCCACACACACACATATACCATGTATGGTCACACTCACACATACAGTCACATACATGCACACTCACACACTCACACACACTGTTAGAACCTCTTCTAACCTGTAAACTTCCCCTGCCTCACTCTGGCCAAGGCTACCTCATAAAATAATTATCCTGCCCAGCACCTTTTTCAAAAACTGTTTCTGGTTTCTGATCCTACGGGTCACTATTTATTGAGTCACTGCTGAGTGACTTAGCAGTGACTTAGCTGTTTCTTTTGTTCGGTTCTTCCTGTCTCTCAGCCTCTCAGCTTTATTCCAACTCCTCCCGCCCTGCCGCCTAAGTGGCCTCCTGACCACACAACTGCTTTCCAGCCAAGGGAGGCCCTTCTGAAAATCTGAAAATGAAGCAAGCTCTGGATAACACCCTCCTGATCCCGGAGCCCGGCCCCTTTCACGTCTCCTTTCCCATTTGCTGCCCCCTTGGTGCCACTTGCCCTTGGCCGTCCAGTTGTGCTGGACCCAGGAGCAGCTTCGCTCTCCTGCCACCCAGTGACCGTCATCCTCCCAAGAGGGTCTGGGGAAGGAAGTGGGTGGGGAAGTCAGAGAAACCAGGTTCAGGCCTGGCCATGTGGGCATGACCCCGTGTTTCCTGATCTTTCTGAACCTCGTTTCTTCAACCGAAAAGGGGAGTAGTGACACCTTCCTACTGGGATGATGCAGTGACCACAGCTCGGGGCCTGTGCAGAGAGGGGGTGATTTATGAAAGCGTGGTCATTGTGATTGCTGCCAAATAAACCTCAATACGGTGGCACTAGCCTTGCTTCTCAAAGGCACTGTGAACACATTTTTCTTCTTCTCTAACCCTCCCCAATGGCCGGGTTTGAGGTCCTGTGAAGGTTCTGGCTGCCCCGCAGAGGGGCTGGGACTCTGGATATGGTCTCTGGGGTCTGAGGGCCGAGGCATCAGGCGGTGCCCAGCAATTTCCTCTGGAAGGACAAATCGAGGGCATCGGGCTCCCACAAATAGCCCAAGGCTCGGGATATTAGTGGCCAGAGTTATCGAATAACTGGTCCCTGGAAAAAAAATTCTGGGCTCTCATTAATGGCACTGAGATTTCAATCTCCTGTCTTGCAGGAGTGCTGGCACTCAGTACTTCCGCTCGCCAATCCTCCCCTCTGAACTGTGCCGACCAGGAGGGATTTGCTCCCCGGAGGCAGAGGGCAGTGAGCTGGCTGCACTCACAGTTTAACGTCTGTGATCTGCTAAGCCCTTAGGCTGAGCTCTTCCTCCATGTTCCCGGGTGTCTTTGCTGGGGTGACTGAACACAGCCCTGGAGCAGTCACTGCGCAGAGCACCAGGCCTGGTCCCTCTCAGCTTCTCCAGCGGGGCTTGGGGAAGAAACGGGAGAGAGTGGAGTATCCTGGGCAGCCCCGACAGTGACCACACGTAGTCAAGGGAACTGGACTTAGGTCGCATGCTCCAGCTAAAGAGGAGGAAGAAGTCTCACTGGACTTTCCTCCTGGAGCGTGCAGCTACAACAGCTTGTCTAAAAGCAAATCTGATCACGGCTTGTTCCTCCCACTGCCTAACACCCTTCGCTGTTAGATAAAGAAAGACAGAATTCTTACCATGATCTTCAAGGCTCTGCCTGGCCTTGCCCCTGCTTGTCCCTGCAGCCTCAATCTGTCCATTTCAGCTGCACCCCTTCCCACTCTTCCCTGCTTTCATCTAATGCTCACTCACCCTTCAGTGAGACCACCTCAAACTCAGCATGTCCCAAACCAAACTATGGATGTGTTGAGTTTAAATGCCTGTAGGATACCCAACTGGGGATAATCAGTTAGACAATCAGATATAAAGGTGTAGAGCAGGAGGTATGGATTTAGGAATCATCACCATGTTAATGACAATTGAAGCCACTGTCATGGGCGAGCCTGCCAAAGAGGGTGTAGAGAGAGAGGAGGAGGCAGCTGGGACAGGGCCCTGGGGACAATGGCATTTAAGGGATGGGTCAAGGACGAGGGGGAGGCTGCGATGAAGACTGAGAAGGAGCTGTCTGAGAGGCAGAGGAAAATGAGTGCCCTGTCCCGAAAGACAAGGTTTCTAGCAGAAGCGTGGTCCTCCCTGTCGTGGAGAAGCCGGCTCTCAGCAAGAGCACCTGCTGTCCCCGGATCAGGCACAGGTGGGGTCAGCAGTGCTTGGAAGTGGCAGCAGTGTGTGGAACCCAGCTCTTCGGGAGAATTATTTATTTGTTGGGAATGGGAGGAAATTTTTTTAAAAGGAAATATGCAAACAAGAATGTAACTACCACATCTGTACTGCTGTCATTTTTCAATAAATTTTGTGTGAGGAGGACGTGGGGTCCAGACAGATTTTCTGCTTAGTTTTGGTTCAAGGTGGGAGGGACTTGAATTGAGTTTGAACGCTGATGAGAATGAGCAGTGAAAATGGGAGACCCCAAGGATGCCGGGGTGAGGAGCAGGCAGGCCAACCTTTAGACCAGCACTGAGTAATAAAACTTTCTGTTATTGTGTAAATGTTATGTATCTGCACTGTCCAATACAGTAGCCACCAGCCACATGTGGCTATTAAACACAGAAGTATGGCTAGTAGAACTGAGGAACTGAATATTAACTTTAATTTTAACCAACTTAAACAGCCACATGTGGCTGGTGGCTACTTTAGTGGCTAGCTTTAGACTTCCATCCGATGATATCATCTGGGCAGAGGTGGTAGAGAATGAAAGTTAAGAAGGATTTCCTAGGAAGATGTCTCAAAGAACAGGACCTCAAGAGAGGAAACATGTCACTTCCCTCTTACAGAGCTTAAACAGGAAATATGCTTATTTCTCTAAAAAAAAAAGTGCGTGAAGTATGACAAGACCACTGAAAGTGAAATAGGGGTATGTATAAATGAACAACAAACACTCAAAATCTCTTCGTTTACTTCTAAAAACCTTCAACAGCCTACACATAACAGAAATTATAGGGGGCCAGCCCGGTAGTATAGTGGTTAAGTTCATGCGCTCCGCTGCGGTGGCCCAGCATTCACTGGTTCAGATCCTGGACACAGACCTACCCCACTCGTCAGCCAGGCTGAGGTGGGGTCCCACGTACAAAATAGAGGAAGATTGGCACAGGTGTTAGCTCAGAGACAACCTTCCTCAAGAAAAAAGAGGAAGAAAGGCAACAGATGTTAGCTCAGGACCAATCTTCCTCACCAAAAAAAAAAGAGAGAAAGAAAGAAATTATAGTAACACTGACTTCTTATAAGGTTGTTTATTTTTTTCTGTCAAGAATTAGATCTCACACCCTGTCAGACCCAAATGTCCAAAGGACCTGCCCTTCTTCCTTCTTTCCTTTCTCCCTCCCTTCTTTCTTCCTCTTTCTTCCCTTCTTCCTTTCTCTCTCCCTTTTTCCTTCCCTTCCCTTCCTTCCTTCCTTTCTTCCTTCCTTCCTTCCTTCTTTCCTTCCTTCCTTTCTTCCTTCCTTCTTCCTTCCTTCCTTCCCCTCCTCCCTCTCCTTCTCACAAAACCAATATTTTACGATATAAGAGAAATATTTAAAAAGAAAAAATATCGTAATCTTCCACCATCCAACCCAGCCATTGTCATCCAATCATAACTTTTGGCAAGACAGTTAAGAGCTTGCCAAAGAAAAATGCTGGCCTACCTGGGAGGGATCTACTTAGGAAGACTCTGGAAGGGCCTGGTCCTCAGGTCAGCCTGCCTGTGAGGGCCTGGGGTGGTGGTGGTGGGGAGAATCCATCGGCTCTTGATCTACCCTCGATGGAGAAGGAGACGGCAGGATGGAGAAAAGGTGCCTCACGGGTAGATCCTGCAGGGAGTAACTCCCCAAACCACCTCACGCGAGGCCTTGATGCCCCGAGGGAAAAACGTGTCTTACTTGTCTTTGCAGTCACCTATATAAGAAGAACCTCGATGTGACCAAAATCCGAACAGGAAAACCTCAGCCGCTTCTCAGAGTGGACGACCATGATTTCACCATGAGGCCCGCCTTTGGAGGTAGGACTGTGTCCTCCCCTCAGCTGGTGGGGCCTTGTCCCCAGGGCTGCCTGCTGCCCCTCTGTCTGGTCCTCTTAGGCACAGCCCTCCCTCGGGGCCCTGATTTTCCCGCTCACAGTCAGGAAAGCCCAACTCACTTCCAGAGTCACTATTTTCCAAAGGAGGGAAGAGCTGGAAGGAAGTGAGTGGAGAGGGCTATTGACTGAAGAGGAGCCAACAGTGACTAAGCTGTTTACTTTCAGAAAGGATCTGCCCTGTTGTTGCCAGCTTTCTTTTCCCAAACACATAAGAGTGGGTGGGGAGAGTCTGGACACAAAATGGCTCCCTGCCTTGGCCACCTAGTGCTTAGCTGGGAATTTTGGGTTTTGAGAGGGCCACCTGCTTTCCAATGCATCAACCACAATTGAACCTACTACAAAGCCCTCTTGCACACTTGTTCCCAAAGAAGTTTCTCTGCTTTGGAGTCATGGAGGGATGGCGTGGCTGGTGACTGTCCCTTCCAGGAACTGGAGAAATGCCACAGGAAGGCCCGGAAAGGAGCCACTGTCTGCTGGGACCAGGCAGGGAGTGGGGTGAGAATAACAGCATGCATGAGATACAGGGCCAATGCCCCCCTTGTGCATATGGGGAAACTGAGGCCTGGAGCATTGTAGCCAATGGGCCCTGGCCTCCATTTCCCCTTTATCTCCACTCTGGATCTCTCTTAGGGCCCAGCATCTTCCTGGGGCGGCAGGAAGGAGTAGGGGTGACCTGCAGGCAGGTCTCTGACACTCTCTGAGCCTCTGTTTGCTGGTCTGTAAAATGGAGAGAGTAATCCCTCCGTCTGAGGTTGTTGTCAGGATTAAACGAGATAATATACGTAAAGCCCCGGCACATACGGGCTCATGTCCCCTTCAAAAACCCAGCTGTCAGGCCTTCTTCTTGTGTGACTATTAAGGGATTAAGACATTAATTTATTCCAGAGGCCTTTGCATTTTAAAAGGCCTCAAAGCCTCCCACTCAATTCCTGAGCTCTGACATCTGCCAGCAGGAGGAGAAGAGTGGGCGGCAGATTACAGCCCGGGCCTCTTCCTCCTGCCCGGGAATGATGCTCACCACCGGCTCAGGTCAGGAGCCCCATCTCTCCGGGAGTTCCCGTTCCCTCAGGGGCTCGCCCCGGGTAATTCTGCCAACGAATTTCATGAAAATGAAGTTGTCCTCAATAAGCAGCTCTGAAATAGCTGTATCTGCTCCAGGAGGTCCCTGCAAGACGTCCCCATAAGCAGAAGGTCCACCTTGCCTTTCCTGTAGAATGTCAGTTAAGACACAGAGGGTCCGCGAAGCGGCTAGAACAACAGTAAACCGTAGTATTAGTCACAACCAACACTTATAGCGACTACTCTGTGCCAGGCAGCTTTCTAATCAAGATAATTACATACATGATCTTACTTTAGTCCCCACAACAACTCCGTGAAATAGATACTATTATCATCTCCAGATGGGAAAACTGAGGCACAGAGCAGTGATGTGACTGGCCCAGCTCACACTGCTGCTGAGGTTAGGGCCTCCCTCCTAGCTGGGTCTTTCTTATCCCCTCTACCTGTACATCCCTCATGCAGGGTCCACGTATCATTCAGGCAAAGTAGGCATAGTGTCTAGAGCCCACAATACTCTTAGGGGCCTCTGAAAATGTTTTAATTTACTTTAAAACCAGAAAAAAAAGAAATTTTAGGTCTAAGAAAAAAATTTTTTTAAATATACTATTAATATATTCATCTTTATACCAATACTGTTGTAAAGTGCGCTTTTTAATATTTTTTATGGTTGGGGGGCCATGAAGGCAAAAGCACCCAGGCCCTCAAAAATCGTAACGTGGCCCTGCCTCAGTGCACAGCTGTGTGGGGCAGGTGTGTGTGCCTGGGTGCGGGTGACGTTCTGAACAACGCGTCGTAACTTTCTAACAGAGGCTGTTGTTGCCGACAGGAGCCTGAGCAATCACCAGTTTACAGAAGAGCCTGGGGTCCGGGGGGTGAAGTGTTGGTCGCAGAACAGCTGGGCGGCTTTCTGCGATGTCAGCTGCAAAACTGAAAACCTCATAAGAACGCCCCCTCCTCTGGGAGAAAGCCGGGAAAGCCAGGAGCTAGCTCTCAGGACTGGCAGGTGAAGTCCTGCCACATTCCTAGAAAACCTGGGTCTGAGCAGAACCATCCAACAGGCTGAAGCCCGGTCAGGGTGCTCCTTCCTCGAGCCATGTTCGAGGAGCAAATTGGACTTCCTGTACCCTGATCTGGGCCTGTCAGTGGGGTCCCCCAGTGTGGAGGGTCAGGACAGTCCCCTGCCCCTGCCTGCGTAGGCTTCTGAGGCTGGGGGAGGCCCTGACTTTGGGGAAAGCTGCAGGGGAAGGAGGTGTCACCTCCAGAATATGAGATCAGACCTGAGGCTCTTACACGCCAGCTGTCAAGATCTCAGTCACCAAAGCATCAGGTGGGGTCTGCTCCTCCTTCCTTCCAACTCCCTTCCCCAGGACAGTGGTCCTCTGGGCACCTTTTATCCCCTGCAGGGCTTCCCTGGATCTCCAGATGTCACTTGGATGAAATAGGGGAGAAGGGAGCATACAGTGAGATGCCAGGGCTCTACACCCCCACGAGCCCATAAATAAGAAGGTTTGTGACTCCTGGAGATCCGGCCAAGCAGGTGGGATCGGGCCATCCCCGGAGGGACTTCCCACAGCCTGTGGTCCCAATGACTGTTATTATCTACAATCCCTGGGAGCATCTGGAGAGGGTTTAGAGCCAAGAAGCCTTCCCGGCAGGTGCTCCCAAGGGTCTCCATTCCACCAGTAGCTCATTCCTGGGCAGGGAGCACTGGCCAGAGAGCAGGTGGGTCTCTGAGGAAGGAGGCTGGCAGACGGCACATAGGTGACTCTGTGAGTAACAGAAGTTGCTTCCTAGGGGGCTGCCCTCTGCCAGACCCTCGGTAAGAAGCAGGGCCTGGGCCCAACCTGCCCTAATGCCCGCCCAGTCTAACACCCTGTCCCCTTAGCACCCATGCACACTAAGCAGGTCATGTGAACAAAGCTGTCCGTGGATAGTTGTAGGTTATATCTTCTCATTCCCATCTTCTCTTCCAGTTTTATTCTCTAAGAGAAACTTCCTTGTGGATTGATATTTAAAAGTAACTAATAGAGAAGAATTTGTCTAAGACTAGATACCCCTTGGATGACCTTTTCAGTCTGGAAAGAGAAGAGATTAAAAATCTAGCAGCTTCCTAATAATCCCAGGGATCAGTTGAAACAAAAATACCTTGTCTAAGCTCCAGCTACCTCCCAGCTGCCTGATTCGGTGGTGTGTCCTGGTTAGAGGAATCTCCAGAGACCTGGGATTTCTCCTCTGTTTGTTAGGAGAAATATTGCAATGCTGATTTTTTTTAAATTTAAATTTTTAAAAATGTGGTAAAAAGACATAAAATTGATCATTTTAACCATTTTTAAGTGTACAGTTCAGTGTCATTAAGCACATTCGCCTTCTTGTGCAGCCATCACCACCATCCATGTCCAGAACTTTTTCATCTTCCCAAACTGAAATTCTGTGCCCATTAAACAATAACTTCCACTCCCCCCTCCCCCCAATCCCTGGCAACCACCATTCTACCTTCTGGCTCTATGAATTCGACTACTCTAAGTGCCTTATCTAAGTGGACTCACACAGTTTTTGACTGGCTTTTGTGACTGGCTTATTCACTTTGCATAATGCCTTCAAGGTTCATCCCTGTTGTAGCATGTGACAGGATTTTCTTTGTAAGGCCAAATAACATTCCATTGTATGAATATATCACGTTTTGTTTATCCATTCATCTGGTAATGGACATTTGGGTTGTTTCTACCTTTTTGCTATTGTGAATAGTGCTGCCATGAACATGTCTGTACAAATATCTGTTCAAGACCTTGCTTTCAATTCTTTTGGGTATATGCCCAGAAGTGGAATTGCTGGATCATATGGTAGTTATGTGTTTAATTTTTTGAGGAACTACCTCACTTCTACAGCAGCTGCGCCATTTTACATTCCCACCAGTGCAATGCCGATTTTTAGTTCAAATTCTATAGACGGGAGGACAAGGAAGGCTGTAGTGTCATCATGGATTCTTTTGAATTTTATCCAAGGAGTTTGTCAGGATGGTTAGGAAGAATGGTGGCAACGAAGTAGGTTAGGTTCTCCAACAAAAATATTTGTGTTCATAAGACAAATATAAATATATTTTTTTGAGCTGTTATTACATGTCAGTCCGAGTCCACGGTACTTGGGGACCCAGTGGTGAGCAAGACAGCAAGACGGTCCTTGGAGTTTTCTGCTCTAGTAGGGGAGACCAGTGTTAATGAAATCCTCACATCTGTCAGGTTGTGAGAGCTGCTGGGAAGGAAAGCCAGGAGCCATGGGGTGGGCACAGCAGGTCATGGGCACCAGGGAACCGCTGCCCCGAGGAGCCAGGGAGGAGGAACAGTGAGGAGCTGCCCTCCCCTGGGATGCTCGTGCTATTGAAGTCCTTTACCTTCAATTACTTTGCCCGAAATGATAGATTGTTCTCAAGAAGCTAATAGCCTACAGGCCGGAGAGATGATTAAGCGCAATCAAGCGACAACGGCTCTACTGATGGAGTGGGGGAGATGAGGAAGTACTCAGCTTTGCCCAGAGAGAGGATCAGAGAAGGAGAGGATCAGAGGAGCCTTGCCTCAGGAGGTGAAGCTCACAATGAGTTTGGAAAGATACGCAGTGGGTGAGCCAGCCGGCGTGGAGAAACCTGGGAGATGGGTGCTTACTGATAAAGGTGTAGCATGTCAAGGGAACGTGAGCGGCTCCGTGTGGCTGCACTCTCTCATGCGTGTGCATTTGTGTGTGTGTGTGGGTGGGTGGGTGTAGATGTGGAGGGAGTGCAGGGCCTGGACAGAGAAATAAGGCTGGAGCGCCGGGCAGGGGCCGCTCTGGGAAGGCTCTGGACTCTTGGCAGCACGGCCCAGGCTGAGGAGT